CACGAAACCGAATTCACCAAAGGAGTTGTTCAGTGGCTGTTCGCCTAAGTTTAAAGCATGTGGGTAAATTTGCTTCTGTCCAAATTGACCATCGGTCAGTAATATGACTAATACAAGCAGATTTGCAGTGTCGTGCGCCCGACTGGACAATCGATCATCAAACATATCCTAATATCACTAGCGAAGAGTACAGTATCCGAAACGACTGCTTTCGCTAATCCGTCCAGACACCCAGAATAAGCATTATAATTCAAACAAATAAATAAGTAAATCAAGTGTTAAGTAAGACTCGCCTTTTACGACATGATCAACTTACAGAAATATTTTTAGAGCATCAGCCACATATAATCAGAAAAAATAAAACAACACGAATTTAACGGTAACATAATGAATGATGCTCGTATCTGTCTATGATCTGACGTTACAAAAGGTGTTGCTGTATTTGTGCTCCCAATGTGAGAAGGGATCAAAGACTGAAGTTTATAAGATGGAAACGATCATCCGGACAATGTCCACTTTAAAGATCTGCAGCCGCTTTAGGATAGCGCAGGAAAATGTGGATCAAAATATATACCACAAAAAAACTGATCCACGAAAGCCCAAAATGTTTCCTGACTTTCATTCATAAACAGCACAACGACGCTTCCGACGATTGTAGCATATCATTTGCGGTGAGATTGTCTTCATGCAGTGCGTAATCATCAGTTCTTTTCCTTTGCGTCTAGGGTTCTTGGTTTGGAGAACTATGGTCAAATTGCAGAGGTTGTTTTCGGAAATGTATATACAGGAACTATATTCACAAGTGAAGATATACCATTGCGGAGCAAGTGCAAGCGGTAAGCCAGCTCATCAGCTTAGTTAAAAGCAACATTGGTCCCCCACGAAACCAATGAGGCTCTGCGGTATTTCTGCAGCGAATTAGTCGGATCACCCTGAAAGTTGCAACAGGAAGAGTAATCTTCACGCTGCGCAAAGTGAATGGCATGGGAATCCATTGAGTAGCGCTTTTTGGGAAAGCTTAAGAAAAGATTTATCACGATGATCTAGGAAGACACTGCGATCCGCATGTTGCTGTAAGCAAAGAAAACCCACTCACACATTGACTGCATCGGCCCAACCCTAGTGCCTTTCCAGTAGCCATATAAGCTATAAACTTATTGGCGCCAAGACTTCAATGTCTCGATTCTCTTATTAGTAGATCAACTAAGACAATGCCCGTGACCATGGAAAGGCCGTAGGCTGTGTTACCGGACAGTTAGTTTCGGAGTGTGTGCAACTACTCTATCCTGTGTTGATGTTTCCCTGTTTTCATACTACCGGAATAACTTGTTTGCCATCTAGAGTAGTGGTTCCCAAGCTTTTTGAGGTCGTTACCTCCAAAGCGGGTTCACTTCAAGCAGTTACCCCCAAACTTTCTAAATCCAATAAGCTAGTAACTGCCGCATTTTTCTTTAAATTACGGCAAAGGAATACTATACGTAATTACTTTCGATCATGAAAATAAACGAGACCCCCATTGTAGTGCGAAGAAGATCCATGAGTTTCTTTCCCTAAGTACCGCGTTCAAAGTATTCTTGCTGATGTCCTGAACGCGACTTTGATGATGTTATTATAAAGCGATATCACAATCAACCTTAACGCATGTTGCTGTACACCGGCGATTCTTAACATTTTTGAGGCTCTCACGAATGGGGTTTGCTATAATCAACCCGCCCCCCATTTCCGTTTCAAACGCTAACTAACGAATAACTATCGCGCTGTTTGCTTCTAAGTACGGGAACTGATAGCTGTTTGGAATAACTCGATCAATAAGAAAGAAAACCGTTGTTTGGTACAACATTGTATGTAATCAAGAGGCGATATACATCAACGGGACGGTTGATATTGCTTAGTGTTAACAATTTCTGGTATATTTGGTTTAATTTTCTGCTAATGCACATCGAAAGTCGTACTCCATGTTCATTCGACTCCTTGCTTTTGTTTTAATTGAAACCATTGTCGAAAATTCACTTTTACATCTATAAGTTATTGCAAATGGGATCAATATTCTCAATGCGCTTTCCAATAGCAATGGATACTCACCACCCATCTTTATCCAAAATGCTACCAGTGGTGTGCTTTGGAAAGCTATTTGTAACTCATTAGCTTCGCGCATTCCTAGGAATTGTGCTTTGGCTTCGATGGTAGTATCCGGAAAGATTTCCTCATCCACTGAAAAGGGTCTTAGCACCCAGGCATTTACTTGGCGATTTTCCAAATCAGGAAAATATTTGCTGATGGAATGGACCACTGATGACAAGTGAAAAGTTATATCCTCTGTGAAAGCGCATGTTTCATTTCTTCCAGCGAGCAAACATCTGCAAACATGGACACATCGTCAACCGTTGCCCTGCGTTGGTAAAGCTGCATTTTGCGAAGAAAACTGGCAACTTTATCTTGAGTAATTAAAATACTAACCATATTTCCTAGCAACCTGTGGTTCAGTGCATTTATTTCTCCGAAGAAATCTGTACGATATGCTAGTTTAGAAATAAATACGTTGCCTGTTATCATAACGTGGAACCCGTTCACCTTACCCTTATGCAACTACTTGCTTTCGAGAAACATTGCAATTTCTCCTCGAATCTCGAGCACTCGGTGCAACGCTCTTCCTCGTGATAACCAACTCACTTCCGTGTGTAATAACAACACGTCGAATTTGCCTCTAAATTCATTGCACAACTCTTTGAAAACTCTTGTATATGTCGCACCACCTCGGATGACGTTTATTATTATCACTACGTTGGTTAACGTGTCTAGCAGAACAGGCGGAAGAGTTTTCCCTTCTAAAGCATAATGATGTATTATGCAATGGCTGCAAGTACAGTGCAGAGCAAACTTTTTGACTAACGTTTGGAATCCAGAACAGAAGCCCAACATGGATGGTTCTCCGTCTATACAGATTCCCACCAACCTCGACCACTGTAGATCCTTTTCCTCGACAAAATCTTTCACTATTTGAAACATCTTCGTCACGTGTAGTTGTGCCCAATGATACTAAAACAAGTACTCTTCTTTGAAGCGGTCGCCTTTTACGTACCGAACATAGACCAGTAGCTGGGAACAGGATGCAATCTCGGTCGACTCATCTAACTGTATTGCGAAGAAAGGACTTGACTTTATTTCGTTGAGCACCTTATACAAAATATTCTTGCTCATATCCTCGATACGACTTTGATTGTGTTCTTAGAAAGTGATATCATGCTTATCTTTTCTGCATGTTGCTCTTCCAGAACAAGCTTCACAGCATCCATTATGCAGGGTTTTATGAGATCCTCTCTTATAGTATGCGGTTTCTTGTTTTTGGAGATTCGGAGAGCGATGCGGTACGACATTTCAAGACCAGCTGCAGTTGACTGAAAAAGAAGCCTCGTGAATCTAGGCGCGTACTTTTGAGCGCAGCTTCTTTCCGTTTGAAGAATGTAATATCTTTTCCTACAAAATGAGAATGACTTCGGTCGAAGTGCCGTTTCAATTTTCTGGGTTTCATGCTCTCCCCCGTGAGCACTTTGCTGCACAAAACACATTGCTGCTTCTCAACATTTTGATCGACAAGATTGGTGAAGCCCCATTGCAGAAAAGCTTCCTTATAGGACCGCTTTTGCAAAAAATTAGGCAACTAAATGATATATATATATGCATATTTTCGTGAATTAATGCAGGTGACATTATCGTAAACGATTAAAAATAAACCCATTATTGTTGATATCAAAAGCATTGAATTAAATCGCTCACCTGCTATGGTTTCTTGTCAAAAACAACTGTAGATGAATGTGATAAACCCAACACCCAATGCTCACTGCCGTCCAATCCGCTGATTCTGCCTTTTTTGTGACCCAAAACGCGGTGCTCTGCCCACTTTCAAACGCTTGCTGTTATCTCCATTCAAGGCATCATATGACCCTTGCGCGTGTGGTTCATGATCAAACATGAACAGATATCAGTGACTTCTCACGTGTTGCATTCCTTCGTTCCGTCATTCCTGCATGATAAGTTGACACCACTACTGTATCAATAGGTGGTGAACACTAATCGCCCGTTTTGGCCCCCCTAACGTGGAACCAATCGCGGGTCAGTTTGCCTGATCGTCTGACCAAA